AGATGTTTTCACTCTGCCATTAGCCATTTAATATTTTACTGGTGACTACTTCCGTTTCATATTGCTTTCTTCGTGCGTGTGAGTAGTTTGCAAGAACAGAAGTGCGGATAATAATAATCCTATTATCTATTTATACGTCTATTATATATTTGGTAACTTGGAAACACGTCGTGTGTCATTTTTCTCTCAAGATTTATTGCTCCATTCTAGTAGAGTGTAAAATATAGTAAGCCACTAACTTTCTGTTGATGTTAATGCACTGATCATTCCTTTCGTCGAAAGGGAACCCAGCTTGTACTTTAAAAGACATGTCTGCTTTTCTCCAGTTTAGTCTTCTAAATAAAGATTTCACGACAACTTATTGCTGCCTGTGACTGTGGTGTAGAGGTTAGGTGCTTTACTGTCGCACGCAGGAGACATAAGTTCAGTTCCCGAATGAGGACAATTGATATCGAGGATTTTTATCTTTCTGCTGTTATGTTGCATCCCTCTCAGCCTAGGCTGGCCTTGATATGCAGGGTAGGAAGCCCGCCTCCTAAATAATCTAAATTGTGTTAATGGGAGAGTGAATAAGACCAACAGTTATAGAGCAGTGGGTGGTACTGCGTGTTTGTAAGCTGAAGCTTCGGTTTTAGTAAGAGTTTTACGGCACTTGCAACACAATAAGGTCATATGTGAGGCGTGCTTACAAAATGAGTTACTTCTCACAATCCACAAATGAAGATGTTGGCCAAAAATCGACATTAGGATCAAAATTGTAGATTTTCTTTTGATGCCATGTTCTTTAACCATAACCTGTCCTTTATTATTTCATACACATAAATTGTCAAAACTTTACCTGTAAACGTGATGTACATATTTTCTTAAGGCTTGACTCCGAGATTTAATTCATTTTGCCAACACGCTTCACATAAAAGTGCCGAAGAATAGATGTGTTACAAGAGAGTAACATAATGTACAAAAGGAGGAGAGATAAGGACGAAAGACGTCTAGTAAGAAAGAAGGAGCAAACCACCCCAGAGCGCCCGTCAAACACCAAGAAAAGCTGAAGGAGACAAAAGGGAAAAAAACTTCACAAAGATGGAAAGCATAAAGTTTATTTTCACAGATTTCAAAGAGTGAATTTGGGGGAGGGGCGGGGAAAAAAGAGGGGGGGGGGGGCACTTTTCAAGAGGTATC